GTGGGGGTTTGGAATTCTCGAGGAAAATATCATTATCTCTAATTCCGACCTTCTCATTTATTTTCTTTAAAATAATCCATACATTTTAGAAAGAGAACTACTATGATAAAAAGATGTATTTAACGAAGTTATACTACTTTTTTTGTTATTTAAAAAGTTAAAATATAATTTTAAAATCACTTTAAGTATTTAGGTGAGATGATACTAATAATGAGGATAATATTAAAAAATAATTAACACTCTTAATATTTTGAAACAATTTGAAAACACTCAAATATTATAAGCATATAATGTAAAAATAAAAAAAAATCAAATGGAATTACTTTTTTTTTTCTTTTTGAAACATAATATTTGAACTCATTTAATTGCAAAATCTTTTGACAAAGAGAGGAACTCTTAACTCTTCTGGATCTTCAACCAGTTCTTTCAATTGCTAATAAATTTGGGCAAGTTTGTTCACGAATTCAATACAAGATATCGTAACACACTTGCTTTTCTTGTTTCTCAATCAAAATCAAATATTTCACGGACCTCCACATAACCCTTCTTCATTATGATAATGACAAAGTCCCAGCTAACTAATTCATTTTCCACTAAATTCCACAACTTCAACTTTACTAATGTATATTGTGGTCCTGAACCCTATTTATTTCAATTATGTCATTTTTAATAAAGTCAAAACATTAGAACAATATTGTGATTCAATTTGCATAGCATAGTCATTACTCTGCATCCAATTCAAATTTTGTCTTCTTTCGCCTGTTCAAGAATTAGAGACCCATCAACTATTGTAAATATCGTAGTTATCCCTCCTTGATTAAATTCTGTAAGACAACTTGGTCCATACCTGAACTGCTACCTCGTAGGTGGTTATCGAAGATTTAGAACATGTTACGGTTAGATAAAAATTTGTAAACATGTTTAAATCACTAGCATATATAGCATATACAATATCGGTCTTGCCCCGATGAATGTTAACTTTGCAAATTGAGTTTACAAAAGCAATCCTATCTCTCTTTCCATTTCAAACTGTGTTTCGAACCAAAAGCAAAACATAACTCAGTTTATGATGATCAACTAAAACAAAACAAGAAACTTTTTAAATTTCTTTTTAAACGAAGCTTTCGAACTGGAAACAAAAAACATGCCATTAATTATTTGCTATTTCCAACTGGTGGCACGAGGAACTTCATTCTTCTAAGGTTTTTTTTGTGCTTCCATTACCAAAGTAGTGTATGTCCAAGGCCCTACTACACAATCTTCTTGATGTTTTGTCGTGTAACCAAAAATCCTCACCCTGGCAGATATTACCTTTTCGATGAATAAGCAGCTTCAGTGCTTCACTTTTTCCCAGAAGACTTCAATACTATAACAGTAACATACCATTATTCTCCCTAGGGTTTTTGCATCCTTTAGATCACAATCCCGCAATAAACAAACACTAAGCAGAAAAGGACAGCACAACCAGGCATTATTGAAACCATATCTTCTCCCAAGAAAAGGAAGAATATACAGATCCATACAAAGCAGGAAAAAAGTACTACATCATAACCAACTTTTCTAGTTCCAACTTCCATGGTCAACGCAGAAGCTATTATCATCTACTAAACGAACACAAAGCCAGGAACTAAATTCACCTCAGTGCGTCTGACTCATTAACCCCTTTTCATCAACTAAACGGTTATCAGAGTAGAAAAAACAAAAAGAAAGCATAGAGTAGTGGAGAGTAGACAGACCAAAATCATTGATAAACTTCACAATTTCAAGATTATCCAACATACCAATACTAACATATATTGCTTCCAAACTATCCATACATAATAGGAGCCAGAGGCATACTACATAGTAAGCTCAAACAAACTAACCTTGCTTAACCAAGGAATAACAAAACCCTAAAGATTAATTGGTTGCAAATTGAAAGACCACACCAACGTTAAGAGGCAGATTCAACACCCTGAATTGCATATACAAACTAAGTAAAATTATCAAATCATGCTGCTAGAATTGAACGTCAACAACACTAGCAAAACATGAACTAAGCATTTTGCATCCTGATTGCAAAAGCATTAAGCAGCTCTGGGTACGGGAAAACATCATCAACGACACAGTTCTCTGCATGATTCATCATGACTTGTTCATTCCCCAGACTCACACCCTGCAAGCTATTAAACCCATTATTAAAGTTGTCCAATTGCTGCATGGGAAAACCCTGGTGATGATGATCAAAAGAAAAAACACTTAAATTTTCATTCTTTGGAAACCCCTTCTTCGTGTCACTATTATAACATTGCGCGGTGGAAACAACCGTCGAGTCAGAAACAAGCGGAGGAAGAAGCGACTCCTGAGGGTTCCGAAAACTGAAAGTCTCCATTTTGGGAAGACCATCTGATTTATTAGGCTTCGTTTTGGGCAAGAACTTGTTAACTATCTCTTCCAACAACCCCGAATCGGAAGACTCCCTGGAGAAAAATCCAGAACCATCATTATCATCAGCGAAACTAGTTCCGCAAAGGGTGTTGATGTTATCAGAAGACGAGGCTCCGAAAGAAGTATTACTGTAACAAGGAGCGAGAGAAGAAGGCGAAGGTAACGAGGAGAGAGAGGAAGCGAGGGTTTTGTTGTTGTGGAAGTGGTTGTTAGTGGAGGAAAGCAAAGAAGGGTTGGAGGAAGGGTTAATGAGGTCGCGAAAGAGGAGCATGTTGAGTGAAGGGTTTCGCGGCGCTGAAAAGTCAACGGCGTGAGGGTCAAAGGTGAAGTGGCGGTGCTGGTGGTTGTTGGCGAAGGGTGGTTTCTGAGAGTGTACATGTTTCGGGAAGTTGAAGGAAGGGAACAAGTGTTCGGTGGCGGAGCAAGGGTTCACCGGAGAAGTAGGGTACACGAAGTTGGTGCGAGCCTTGAGCCCGCGCATGGCTCTGGCGGCGCAGTCGTAGGCGCAGGCGGCTTCCTCCGCCGTGTCGAAGGTGCCAAGCCACCGCCTCTCCTTCGACTGAGGGTCCCTTATCTCGGCGGCGTACCGCCCCCACGGCCTACGCCTCACGCCGCGGTACCTCATCGCTCCGCCGCCGCCGTCGTTTTCTCGCAGGGCTCTCTTGTTTACGGCGGAGCGCTTCGGGTTGTCGGCGACTCCTCCTCCGTCGATCTTGGGGTCAGCCCCGTTGAGACGCCTCATTGCATCCTCCATGGTTTTGATGATGAAATGGAAAAGCGATGGTAATACTTAAAAAATTGCGATGATATTTTGCAAAGAGCTAAAGGGTTTGGTTTTGTTGTGATGCTGCCTTGAATTTGGTTGAGTGTGGTGTTATTTATAGGAGAGTGCTGTGTGATTGCACACGGCAACATGGATATAGCTGGATTTTTTATTTTATTTTATTTTATTTTCTTGTGTTGGTGGGATATTGGGAAGTGTTTCATTTAATCATGGATGTCTAACACAAATATTAAGAGAAGAAAGACTAAAAACAATGAGACAAATCTATAGTAAATACTACTATCTGCTTTCTATTTTTCTGGATTATTGGAGTATTACTATTGTTCATTTTATTTTATTTTCCTGTGTTGGTGGGGATATTGGGAAGTGTTTCATTTAATCATGGATGTCTAACACAAGAATCGAAATATTAAGAGAAGAAAGACAAAAGCAATGAGACAAAACTATAATTACCTGCTTGGTATTTTTCTGGATTATTGGTACTCAAGTTATTACTGTTGTTTATTTTATTTATTGATGGGCCCGTGCACTACCTGTTTTTTTTTTTTTTAAATATGGTGACTAAATAAATTATTTACCGTAATGTGTATTTTGATGTGCTTTTACAGTTAAATAGTTTAATTAATTAAAATTAAATGTAGTAAATCAATTTTTCTATTTTTTTTTTGTCACGGCTATCCAATCCATCTTAATAATACTCGTGGTGTTGTGATTATCACAATTCCAAAAGAGTATTTTCACACACAAAGTCAAACTAGGGATTACTTTTTTATGTTTAACTTTGCGTCTAAAAATTACCATTATTTTACTTATGAGTTATATTGTGTGCGATGTTTATTTAGTCTTTTTTATATTACTTTCTACCGATGCATTTGTTTATATATATAAGTAAAAAATAAAATAGAGACAAATAAAGAAAAAAAAAGTGAATAATAATGAGTTAAAAATAGTGTGAAATTAAGCATGATTGGTTTAAGAAAAATAATAATATAGAGTTTATGATTTTGTATTGAAAAAGATGATAAAAGTTAATATAAAAGTTAGAATCCTCTTATATCCGTCACAGAAATACATTCCAATGACTTAATCAAATATGTACCTGATTTAAATAATTAAACTTTAGTCTTAATCAATCAAAACTACAGCAACAACAATAACAATACAAGGCTATCTGTTGAAAGAAAGACACATGGTAAAGGAAGGTTCTTGTGGCCATCAAATACCATTTACAAGAAGTAGTTCAAGTTCAATCGGATAGACAACAAGACATCAACAAGTTATAAATAATACAAGTAAATTTAATATTACATTTTAACTCAAAATTATAATCATGTTCATAGATTTTTTTGCATATATGCTACTTTACATACTCAATTATATATAATATGCAAGATTTTCATTCACACTTACATATTAACAAGCGAGTCACCAACAAAAAATATAATTTTAATGAAAAATACTTTATTTATAATCCGTTACAATTTCTACTCTCATTTAGATAAATATAAAATTGTGTTTTAACATCTTAATTTCACTTATTTTACTTCCATGATATCAAATAAACTGACTTATTTCTCCATTTTCATTAACACCCACTTATATATATATATATATATTATGATCTTATTCCTAATTGATGTAGGATCTCCAAACACCCCTTCACGTTGAGGATTTAACATCTCGAATGTGAA